CCCCGGCCCCCCGCCGTGGCCAGGACCGGCTCCGGCACGGCAGTTTCATTGTGATCTGTGCAGCAGCGCAGGTGTGCCCCACGCTTCCCGGGTATGTGGAGAGGTCCCTGCCCTGCAAGTCGTACAACCGAAGCAGACGGCAGCGCTTCCAACACGGGAGGGGGTTATTCCCAGCAATCCATGACGCGATGTTTGGGAATTTTTCACAGCACCAATGCCAAACCAGGGAGAAATGCCCGGAGCAGGGATGGGGCTGCAGATGCTCGGATCAAACCCGGGAGGGCTGTGTGCCTCCTGCCACCGTCCCCACCACCGCCGTCCTCCATCCTCCGGGACCCTCTGCCTTTGCCAGGTCCACCCCCCAGACCCCCAGCCCTCAACTGATGTGCTGTCAGCCTCGGAGCCCTCCTGCCAGGGAGGTGAGGAAGTATGTGTTGATTCTGTCTCATGAGAAGCAAGGAAAATGCCACGCCAGGGTTGTCTGGTGGCACAGGCAAGGGACAGTGACACCGACCGGGTCTTCTCATCCCAGGGACAGCCCCTCCGCCGTGGAGGAGCTGATCTGAAGCAAAGCCAGGCTTTTCTTTGACTGGTGGAGCGTGAAGAGCACTCGGACGGTCAGATGCTCCTCGTTTGAAATAAATTCCACCGACGCACTCTCTTCTGACATCAACCGTTACCCAAGCACGATGCACACAGGGGCCAGCAGCAGCATCTCGGGGCAGGAGCAGGCAGCAGGTGAGTTTTCCTGACGGGGACGGGGACGGCAGGCGTGAGGCAGTTAAATGACACCGTCACGGGGACAGGAGGTGTGCCACCACGGCTGCCACCTGCCCGCCAGCGTGGCCACGCGGTGGCAAGTCACGCTCCATACCCAGGCCACATAAAAACCAAACTCCCGGCACCTCTGTGCATCTGCTGAGAGCAGTGACAGTTCTCCCACCTCGCCACGGCCCCTCTGACAGTCCAGGGACAGGGACAGCTGGCTCTGCTTCGCTCCGCTCCTGGAAATGCCACGGGTGTCCTGGAGGTACCCGGCCAGCCACCGTCTCCTGGGGTGGCCCAAAGCAAATGGGACCATTTCTCTCCCTTCAGCTTGAAGAACCCTCCAGTTAAGCTGGGACAAGGGACAAGGGGGGTGGGATGGGGACAGCCCTTCAGAGAGGGACCAACCCATCATCCAACACCTAGAGGCAAACTCTCCCACCTCCCCGCACCCTCCCGGCTGATGTCTTGAGAATTCACGCAGGTCATCCAGGCTCATCTTCTTCTCCCGTCGCTCAATAGAACCAGGAAGAAGGGGAAGGAGTATTAAGTATAAAAAAAAAATTACATTATTTTTTCCTCTCATAATTCAGAAGAGCAACGTCCACATTTCATCCTGGAAGTAGCAGCACTTTGGGGATTCTCGTGTCCGAGACCTAATTTGTAAAGTGCCTCGGGATCCCTCAGGGTAAAAAAAGCATTACGGGATCATTATTAAAACGGACACGTTATATTTCATCTCTCAGTTCCACACAAGTGGAAAAAAAAAAAAAAAGGCCAAGATCTAACTCCAGGATGAGGAGACAAAACTGGGAAACATAACCCTCACCCAGCCACACGATAAAAACGGGATGGAGCTTCCCACGCTCCGAGTGCTGCAGCGGAGCGGCCACTCTGGATCTCCTGCTCTGCCCACTGCTCAGCCACGCCACCCCAGTGAAACCTTTTTGGGTTTTTAATAAAATCCACAATCCCTGGCCAGAGCGGTCCCTCTCAGCTCTCCCCTGGGCTCGTTTTGCACGTGCTGGCTGGGATCTAGCACCCGTTACAGCATCGGAACGCAGAACACAACCTGCTGCAGCCTGACCGCGACCCACGCGCGGGGCTGCCCGTGTCCCGCTGGCTCCTCCAGCTGCCAGCACAGATAATCTAGAGAAAAAAAAAAAAAATCCTTTCTCAAGCCTTTCCCCAGTCCGTCCACCAGCAGCATCTCTGGCATACCCTGCCCCAGACTGGGAAGCTCCTTTCAAACCCTCGGCATGTACGTGGCTCGATGAGAAGCAATTTCCCAGAGGACTGAGTGAAGTATTTCAGGTTGAACCTCACGCCTGCCTGTCTCCCACGCCCACGGCACACACGGCTGCTGATGTGATTGCTCTGGCACACACAGCATCTATCTATCCGCTCAGCCAAGCCCGTGCATCACCTGGCTATCGATCTGCCGGAGACATGACCTGTACCCGCGATGAGATGTGGCAGCAACGCAGCCCCCGTTCAGCCGTTCCTGCGGGGGGGGAACGGGGCCGGGGCAGCCCTGGCCCTTGGGCTGGGGGCTGCTTCTGCAGCAGGGAACACACAGCACCCCAAAATGGGGGCAGCTCACGGGGAAAGGGGCTCAGCTGCTTCACCATCAAAGATATCCAGCTTCTGAGACCCCAGAACTGCTGGTGCAGGTATCACTCGGCAGCTGGAGCTCAGCAGGGAGCTGGATGTTCATGGAAACCTGCGGGGTTGGTGCCTGCACCATTGCAGAATGAAGGCAATGCCGAGGCCACCAGTCCTGCCCTTCCAGTTCTCACTGCTAAAGCCCTGAGCAAACCAGTGACGTAAACACTGACCCTTATTTCTAGGGTGAGAAATCACCCATCCTCTCCCCCAGACCACGGATATTCGGTGACTCTCTAGACCAGAGCAGGGTCCCTCTGAATTCCCATCAATGCTTTGTTCTTACCTTCTGCAGCAGACTTCAACTTTTTGTGCTGGCGTTCAAAGGCCAGGCACGGCTTAACCCTTCACCTTCCTCTGGAGCACCCGCAGCCTCAGCAGACACTATATCCTCCTCCTATACCACAGCCCATGGCCCTATACCACCCCGCAGCAGGCGTTCTCCTCCCCCAGATGTTGTTCATCTCTGCAGCAAGGACAACGCTTGCGTGGTCCATAAAGTACCATGGTTCTAGTAACCCAGAAATTAATACAAAAAAGAGAAAACTCTAAATACCATCATATCCTGGGAATAACAGCAGAACAAGCCTCAATCCTCGGGGCTTCAAAGGGCTGAGAACCTTTCACGAGACGCAGCGAAGCAGCAGAGGACGTGGCCGAGCACTCACCTGTGTGTCGTGTTCATCGCCCTGAGCGTGGACAGTGTAGGAGCGACCGCCGTTCTTCATGGTCTCGGTGGCGATGCGCACCTTCACCCCTGGCAGCGGGGTGCCCACAGAACCTGCAAAGGAAAAGCAGACTGAATGGCCAGCCTCTGGGAAAAAAAACAAAATCAAGGATGCGAAAGAGCAGCTGCTTGTCTATCAACGGCATCTGCAGCCTGTGCTGGCTCTGGAGAACCTCCTAGCAGGGGGTCACCCTTCAGGAAAGCTTCGATCACATCCTGTATCTGCACGCAAATGTCAGGGCGGTGCCATACGCCGCTGTTTGCTGAGCAGGCAGGGCTGGAAATGCCCAGGAAAACACGTGCCTCCAGCCCCGAACGCTCTCTCCTGGCCAGGCTTTGAAGACATCAGCACAGCTTCCTAGCTCAGTAATGAAGCTGTCTTTAAAAAAAAAAAAAAAAAAGCACCATGAAACCTACACAAAGAGGTGAAAAGAAAGAGCACAGTGATTACTGCAGTGGCTTGCTGCCTCTCTACAGCCCGGACCTGACAGAGAAGGCAAAGGCTTAGCAGGGGGAGAATTGTGAGGGATTAGCTCAGTTTTGTGAGACATCAATACACGGGATATAAAACATCACAGGAGAACAGCAGAGATCAAAACCACCCCATTCTGCCACAGGTCTCAATTCTCAAAGCCAGGGAATCTGACACTGTGTCACCAACAACTGCTACAAAGCTCCAGGATGGACCAGCGACCCCACAGCTCCCCAGCCTGCAGCATCCCCACCCCCGGGGTTAGTCCTGAAAGCAGAGAAGGAAGGGCAGCTTTGTTCCTGCCACCTCTGATGGGGGGCTCCAGGCTCAGCACCAACCAGAGTCATGAGCATTTGCTGGCTTGGCAGGTTTCGCTCGGCATCTCAACGGCACGAGACTTTTCTGACATTGGAAAGTCCTCAAAGCAAGATGTGCAGGACCTGGAGCTCAGCGCTGTCTTCTCCTCGTCTCTATTTCAGGCGTTTGGGTTCAAGAGGCATTTTCCCTGTCCTGGTCTCATTCTCCTGCTCATCTGCTGGAGATGCGATACCTGTGACATCATGATTTTTTTGCTACATTGGTCAGTTGCCATGGAAATCGATGTGTCGTCGGAGCCCAGATTTATGGCATCCCTGCAGGACCAGCTCAGAGCAGATGGGCTACGAGGGAGTGAGATTTTATTGCAGCGAAACTACCCGATCAATTAGCAAATCTGGCAAGAAATGAACAGAAAGCGACGTGGAGGTTCTGGGGTGTGTGTCTGTTCAGCTGGAAATTGCCTTCGGCGTTCAGGTCAGCCAGCACACGCAGCCAGGTCCTTCGCTTACCACGAGCATCCCTCGGGCTGGACTCATCTCACGGCCAGGCACTGCCAGGAGCTGGAGGCAGAGGCTTGCAGCAGGGTAAAGAGGAAGAAATGTGCCAGAAGCCACCAGAAGTGCCCTGAGGTGCCATAAAATACTTCTGTGTTTTAAACAGTCTGGTACTGGCCATGGCCAGCCCTGGAAGCCTGCGGATCGTGGGGAGAGAGACGCCGTCCTGGAGGATGCTGCTTCCCTGTATGCAAGGCACTGACCTCAGAGCAGGAACGTAACGGACCGATCCACGGGCAGCAGGACGGAATGGTTAGTGCCCACTTCTAGTCTCAGTCTTGGAAAATGAAATAACCAAAGATCAGCACAGCGCTGTCAAACAAATCTGCAGACAGAGAGGAAGCATCGTGTTTCCCATAGTGTGTTTCAGCTCACCATTACAAATTATTTCCTACTTGGCTAAAGGAAAACCAACATGTGAAATAAGTCCCTGGTGGGGAGCTGTTTCCTTGTGTTTGGTCTGGGAAAGGCTTTCTGGTGCTCAGGAAAAATGACAAGCTTGACAATCAGCATCCGCAGAGGCTGAACACGCTCACAGCACTGATGAGAGCAACACGAACCTGACAGTATTCATAAAATCTGTGCAACAGCAACGACCAGAGCTTCTCAGGCCCATCTCCCGTGTCAAGATACACACTGTGCCGACCCTAACAGGTCAGCAGAAGGCTGAGCCCGTTCCCAAACGCACGGCACCAGAGGTCCTGCCTTCACCGAGACCAGAATCAGGGTTGATCAGAAGGGGGCTGACACCCAGCACTGGCCTCCTTTTGTCCCCAGCCGTAATCCCGAGGGGAAAACGGGGAGCAATCCCTGCTCCTTCCCCTCTCACTCCCTCCTCTCTCCAATTTGCAGGCTCCTGCATGTTCAGAAATGCTGGCAGCCCGCCCGCGGTGTCAGCTCGGCCGGGCTGCAGCCGGGAAGGAGTGACACTATTATTCTTTCACCGGTCCTCCTCTGTTTCAAAAAGTTGTCAGCTCTTCCCAGATAAATGTAATTGGTCCTGCGGTCTGTGTCCTTTGGTATCAGGGGACCTGGATGCTGTTACGCGCGGTGGTGTCCTGCGAGGATTGGAAGAGGCCAACGACAAGGCACTGGGCGATCTCACTGTCAGCAATCCCGGAGCCCCGCTGCAGGAGCTGTTAGCCGCCTCTGCTCTAAACCTCCAATTAAAGCGGTGATTAGCCCCAGCGAGGCATTCGCCGCCCATGAATTATTCATCTCCCTTCACAGTAACAGCACCGGGGGGGATTAGAATGAGAGCTGGGGAAAACAGAGGCATTTTAAGCAGGGTTTTAACCATATACAAGCAAACATTTATCTTTCATATCTTTCATCTTTTCTTCTGGAAATTAAAGCCTCCCCCCCGCCCTTGCCCCTTCAGACCTGTGCTGCGGGAGGAGAGTGGTGTCATGCTGACAGGGACACCAGAGGGGACACGGGTGACAGGGACTCGGTCCTTTCCCAGCCACACCAGCGGTGTCATGCTGCCAGGGACACCGGAGGGGACACGGGTGAAAGGGACTCGGTCCTTTCCCAGCCACACCAAGGCAGGAGCTCACGAAGCAGCAGAGAAGGATGTGTGCCGCTTCCACTCCAGGAGAAATCCCCCGGCAAGCCTGAGGACCCCTGGACTTACCCACAGGGTGAAGTGGCACGCTTGTGGCACTCCTTTTCACCACTGCCCAGCGTCTGTCCCTCTATCACCAGTGCCGTCTGAGCTCTTTTCCTTGGATGCTTTTCTCCCCCTCGTGCCCAGCCTCTGTTCCCAGCCCATCGCTGCATTTCTCAGCCAGTTCTCATGCGCTGGATGCTCTGTGGTACCAGTGACCTGACATCCCAGCCTCGAATGGGGCACTATATCAAAAGCTTTTCCACATCTCTGGTAAATGACACCTCAGCTTCACCCATCTGCTTCCCAAGTGACACCCCCTGAAATAAACGACTCAAGCCTATTCTGCTCCAGCCCCCTTTCTGTAAGGTCTCGTATGGATCCACACCTTTGTGAGATGCTCCTCTTGGGGTGCAGCCAGCCCCTGGTCGGCGGCTGGAGGGACAGTCAGGGGACTTTATCCTCACCCCTCTGCTTGTAGCTGCACGAGAGGATGTGTCCCCAGCCCCCCTGCAGACCCCAGCACCCTCAGGGACCCTGTCCTGGCTCTGCTCAGGGGCACAGCCACCCAGCTCCGGAGCAGGAGCTGCCCCTCTACTTGCCAACGTCTGCCTTGCCCGTGTCGCTTTCCCTCTTACTTCCTTCCTCCTTTTGTCTCCTGGGAAATGTCTAAAGGCTCCACTCATCTCCTGCAGATGAACAAACAGCAAACACAACCCGGCCACAGGGACATTCGAACGATCTCTGCACCGTCACCCTGCAGCAGGGGGTTCCCGGAGAGCTGGAGCTCACACAGGTGGGAATCTCCTTTCCCTGCCCGCTTCCCTCTCCTGCCCGCAGGGACAGGATTCCTGGGGACGGGAATGCTGGCTGGGATGAGCTGGGCTGGGGGAATTACAGTTACTCTGCAAAAATAAACGAGAGTTTGGATTTCATGCTGCCCCTGTGCTGTTCTCAGGTTGAGAAGCCAGCATCAGGGAGCTGTGGCTTCTCCCTCCCTGAGCCATCCCTGCAGGGGCACAGCCCTGGGACTGGGGTGCTGTGGGGAGCTGTGACAGTCCCCCTGGGTGACACCGGTCCCCACGGCGATGCATACAGCACCGTGCAGGCGCAGACAGCACACAGGGAGGAGAAGGCGGCACAGCGGTGGGCTGGGGTGCTTGGCAGACAGGCAGACACGTTTTTAACCAAAGGGAGGGTGGGGGCATTTTATATTTTTAATGTTTCAGATCAATTTATTTCTAGGTTACGTAAGCTACAGGTATTGGGAGGAGTCACAAAGTGTAGCTAGGAGAAGTGAGGGAAGGCAAGGAGAGAACAGAACCAGAGTGTATCACAAGGTGTGACAATTTCTAATCCCTGAAGAGCCAAGAAATTTGCACAAAAAAAAAAAAAAAAAAGAGTCCTATTTTAGATGTTCAGTACCGAACGATTGGACACGAACTGCTGCGTGGGGAATCCTGTGTCAGCACCGCACACGAATACAGCTCCACAGAGCAGGAGCTGAAGATGCACTCCCATCGCAGTGCCTGAACTAGGACTTTGGACATAATAAAGCATCGATATGACAAATGGACATTCTCTGTGACGAGAAAACCCAGGAACACTTCCCAGCCAGATACCTCCAAACAGCGTGCACCCTCTAGAGACTCCTACCTGGGACCCGGGCTCCATGCAAAGGGTTAGAAAGCGCCATTCCAATCTCAGTCATCCCATACCTCTCCAGCAGTGTGTGCCCCGTGATGCTCTTCCACTTCTCCAGGACAGGCACAGGCAGGGCTGCGGAGCCTGACACCATTAACCTGCATGAGGAAACCCCAGCTGAGAAAGTATCCGAGATCTCCTTTGCTCCAGGGAATTTGCAGTCTAAGGCAGGGTTACAGAAAGCCTGCACCTACGTAAAACCTTAAGACAGAAGCCTCAAAAGCCTTTTAACCAGTACCAAAGATGTTCCTCACATACAGAAGATTCTCTGTCTGATTGGGGTTTAAGTTAAGATGGGACAGACCCTGCAGTACAAGCTGTGTCCTTTGCAGGACAACGTCCTGTGTTTGCAGGGTGACACATGTAACGAGCACACAGACCCCTTCTGGCTTCACCATGCAAGAGTGGCTCACAGTTAAATAATGTCACCCTGGTTCTTGTCAAGAAGCACAACCACCAGCACTGCAAAGAGGCGATGCTGAAAATAAAGCCCAGCAGATCCCCCGTGGGGACAGCCAGCCCCCAGCACCCCTGCCCGCTGGGGCATCCTTCCCCACCTGATGTTCTCCTGGCAAAAGGCACGCACAAAGTCCTGCACTTGCGCCTGGGAGAAGTGCTTGTCGTAATACTCGATCAGCTTGGCATAGATGGTGGGCACGGCCATGAAGACGCTGACACGGGGACCTTCGGAGCTGAGGAGCTTCTTCCAAACCTGGAAAGGAAGGGAACGTACACGTGTGAAAATACACCTCAGTAGAAAGTGCAGAGGGAAGCACAGTGAGGGGTCTGCAAACACCTCAGGGGCAGTGAGCCCTGACACTGCTCCTCTGCAAAGGGAAACTGAGGCACGGGGTGCAGCAGGTTTGTCCAAAGCAAAGCCACCCTGGGCTGGTGGGGAACCTTCTGGAAAGCACAAACAACTGGAAGCCTGTTGTGCACACTTCATCCATGTCCAGAACAACAGCTCCCAGCCCCCATCACGCCCGTTATGGCTCAAACCACAATATTCACTCTCTCATCCTGCCAGCAGATCACCCACCTTTCAGTGAGCACAAGATGATGGAAACGGCAGTTTTTAGTATCATCATGTTACAGCCAAGAATTTGCTCATGAAGACAGAAGCTCGTGGCACAATCAGTTAATTCCCTTATCACGTACAGCTCTTCTGAGGCTACCCCAGCTTTGCAGAGCACGGGAGCTCCTCTTTGGAAAGACACTAGATCATACACAAAGAACACGATACGCAGGCAGGAGCCCGCAGACCCGAACCTTTGAGGGAGAAATGCTTTTCAGATGGATGGCAGGGCTGGGAAGAGAGATCTCAGGTGCTCGAACTGGAAGTGAGACCCCCCTGCAATGGAAATGGGGGTTTTCTGGTGAGCGGGCGCAGAGAGACGTGCCCCAGTGAGCTCTGCTCAGCCGCCAGGAACCGCTGCGGCCAGGAGACACCAGCCAGCCAGGAGGGGAATGTCCAAGAGGATCAGCCCCAGCAGGACAGATGTTCTTCAGCTGCAAGTTCTTTGGGAACTACAAACCGGGGTGAATTCCAGGAGCCAGCTCGGCGGAGGGGGGTGAAGACCAAGCAACCCCCAGCTGAGCATCCCCACCTGGGAGCAGTCAGCGATGGGCAGGAGCCATAAATATTGCAACTGGGCCCATTCCTCCCACACTTCGCCACTCTTCCCCCTAGATAAGCTCTTCCCAAGACAGGAACGATCCAAAGCCATCCATAAATAAAAGGCTGCGGTGACAACCGCCTCTTCCTCTCGCTGCGGTCCCTGCCCCACTGGTGATAAATGTTAAATGTATTTCCTAACAGCTCCCGACACCGCGTGCCGCCTCTCCCCTCCCTGCCCGCACACGCTCAGCTGCACACAGGCGCGTGCGACGGCGAGAGAAAGCAGGAATTGATTGAAGGTGAACAAGTGATTCTCCTTCATGCTGTCACTCTGCCCCCGTCCCCTCCGTCCTGCTCGCTCGGGCTCCATTTCATCATTTTCTACTTGGCTGCGCCAGCGCCGCCTCTCCCCACGTCTCTCACTCCACTGCTCCAGAACAATCAGCTCCTAAAAACAAGAAAAAAAACCCCACTACCACCACTGTGTTGTTATTCTTAACAGAGTAGGACACATCCAACAACGGCACCGTCCCGCCCAACGGAGGGGAGATCACGCTGCCTCCCAGCCCGGAGATGGTCCTGGATGGGACGAGACAAATGCACGAGGTGGAAACCCTCCCAGACACCTCGGGAGCTGGGACGAGACCCCCGTGGTGCCAGGGAAAGCAGAGGAGGGATGTGCCTGACCCAGACCAATGGGTGACACGCAAGGAGAGGGCACACCACGCTTCCACCTCCCAGCATGAGCCCATAAACCAAGCTGGAACAGGGAAAATGGCATTTAGCAGGATCTAACCCCTACCACAGTCCTCCCAGCCTCTTTCCCCAAATACTGTTTTCTCTTCAAACTCCCAATATCTTTCCCACTGGAGGCAGGAGGATGGAGAAGGATGTCTCCAGACTGAACGCACGGACCTGCTCTGCTCAGCCTGCTGCTCCCGAGAGCCATCGCCTTGGGCAGAAACATGGGATGGCAAGCAGGGATCAGGGCTGTGCCAAAGGAACTGAAAGGAGACAGATGCTCGGGGCTGCTCAATCCTTGCTGTGTGATTTTTTTTGTTTTCCTTCCTAAGTCCAGAACAGCTGTGAGGAGCGCAGGCAGACTTCCAGTCTGGCCACGCAGCAGAGTTATTTTCACATGGATTTGAAAATAAAAACCCAACCCATCACTGCAAAACACAGCAGACCTCTCTTGCACCCCCAAGCCCCCTGTCCTCACACACTCCTGCCCCAGATAAAATCCTCCCCACCACCGGGAGCAGCTTTTTCCGTGTCAGTCACCCCTCTCCTGCAGATAAGCAGCTGCCTCTGGATTTGTGCCACAAGCTGCCGGGGCAATGTGCTGCCAGCCAAACATCTCCACCTGCTCCGCTCCCGCTCAGCCCAGTTTGGATCTGGACGTGTTTTAATGGGACTCAGCACCGAGCCACGGTACCAGCTGGCAGCCCCCAGCCCTCCACAGACCTCAAGCTGTCCGGGGGGCTTGTCGTTGCCCAGCCAGCTGGAACGGCTATTTCTGTTTTATAGTGATAACTTCACGCTTTGAGAGAAGGGTCTGGGAAAGTCTCGTTACCTGGGACTAATCAATCAATCCCGGGGCTTGGACAGGCTTGGAGCAAGAGGCCAGCTTTGCCCTTCCCACACCATCCAGCTCCCCCGCACTCTTATCCCCTGCGTCACCGTCACCACATCCATTACCTGGGGACAGGGACTGGCAGCCCATCGTTGCATTTTATTTTGCTCACCTGGTATCTCAGGAATCCAGGTTCTTTTCAAAAGCCACGGATTCTGCGTGCAAACGTGGCACCAGGGCTGCTGGACTTTGCTCCAGGCACAGGCACAAGGGAAGCATTACCCTCCCAATGGAAGGTGTTCAGGAGATGGCTTTTCAAAAGCCACGGATTCTGCAGGCACAAGGGAAGCATCACCCTCCCAATGGAAGGTGTTCAGGAGATGGACCAAGATCCCTTCAAAGATAAACAAGGGCTAGAAACAAAAAGTTTCTAACTGCAAAAACACAAGAGTGGGAACAGCTTTCTATCAGCAATAATGCAGCGAAAGCCCAGGGCGGGCTTACAGGACAGCGCTGCCTGAGCCAGCAAAGGACTGGGAGCCCTGCTGTTCCCAAGAGCCTGCCCAGCAGCCCCGCATTCCTGATTTTCTTCCCCTCCCACTGCACAAAAGCATATTTGGGCAATTCCATGGGCTGGCCAGTGGGATTTTGCCATCAGTAAGCAGAAAAAAAAAAGAAAAAAAAAAAAAAAAAGGAGAAAATCACACCAGTGGGTACAAAGCCAGCCCAGGGAGACACAGCTGTCAGGTCTTTCCCATGTATTTTGTCCAGCACACAGATGGCACGATGGTGAATGAGGACGGAGGAACATGCAAGCTGCTCCAAGAGATGGTCCTTCCACACAGCAGCCTTCCCAGCCAGCCTCCAGGTCTGCTAAGATCACCTGAAGCAAGAGATGCAAGCACTAAGGAGAAAATTAACTTTTTTTCCCCTTAGAGAGGCTTCACCCTTGGGGAGAGATGCTCAATGCCGCAAACTAGACAGAAAACTCCAAATCTACCAACATTTGGGCATCTTCTGATGCACAAAAAGAAGAGAAGGTGGCAACAATCATTTGTATGCTAAATCTTGCAAGACACCGCCTGATACAGGACTCCCAAAACCAGCCAGAAGAGATGCAGGCAAAAAAGCCGAAAAGGAAGCGAACATCCGCAGGGATTTTCCCACCAGCCCGCACACAGATACACACAGCCCGTGCGGCTGCCTCTGGCGGCAAACAGCTCCTCTCTTCTATACAATTACTGTATCATTTTCAGTTGGTATTGGATTTTTTTTAAACCTTTTCAAAAGCAACAATACCCCTAATGCAAGGTTAAACCAGCCCTTCACTTCCCTTCCGACTGGGGAGCCGGGTTTGCGTCTCGCATCGATCGCTGCCGTGCGCGGAAAAGGGCCGCCTGCACTTTTCAGAGCTTCTGCGAGAGCAACAGGCAGCAACGTGGCTGCAGCCACACCAGCTCCTTGTTCGGCCAGACCCTGCACCTAGCACCCAGGACAGAAAGCTCCCATTAATTCTACAGAAGTGCCGAAGGGATGGCAGGACCACGCACCCGCGTCCCACGCCGCTTTATCCCGATGCCAGCAGAGGGGCAGGGGACGGGAGAGCAGCAAGGGGAGCTCAGCTCCCTGCCAGGGACCGGGCTGCGGATGCTCCGCTCAGCCCCGGCGGTGCACCAGCGAGATGCAGAGAGAAACATTCTCCTCTTCAAAGGGAAAGCGGGCCCTCGGTGGCTGCGTCTCATGTTTGTTATAACCCCAAACTGTTTGCGCTCGGCACGACTCTGGTTTTAATCATTTATTCATCAGCGTGGTTTGATGGCCCCTCCGCATTCCAGGCTGAAGCTTTTAAACCCTTCCTACGCTGTAGGCATACTGAAAGGAGCAAGTGCCTTCCCTGGGAGCTGGTAATGTAAGTAAATATGACAGGCTCTGGTTCCATTTTTTATATTTCCCCACACACATCAAAAGACATTACCCCGGAACAGATGCTGAGGACAGACGGCAGATCTGGGGAGACGGGAAGAAAAACTCTAACTTTTTAAAGCCAGGTCTGTGAGAAGTGATCAAACATAATCCATTCACTGGTGACCCACTCCTCCCTCCACTGACTCCTCTTTGAGTCTGAAACAAAATTACTCCTCTGAAGCCTCCCATTAACAGATGAAGAGACAATCGCCTTTCTCCAGCTGACATTGGAGGGGAGACGCAATCCCCAGCGCACTACAAGCGGCATCTCAGCCATGCTCGGTTACTGGAGATCAGACTCCTCTGCTTGGCTTTTCTTTAAAAAAGAAACTAAAAGAGCTGCTCAGTGTGATATCTGCAGAAGCGACAGATCCAGGGGAGATGCTCACTGCTTCTCCCTCCCGGAGGCAACGGCCGAGCCCTGCATCTCCCCACAGAGCCCGGCGAAGGCATCACCAGCCCAGCCTCGCCTGGCTCGCGCAGATAACCGCGGCACCAAGGACAAACGGTTTGCCCGCAGATGTCATGCAGACTGCTGGTCTTGACGAGGAAGTCAGGGGTGTAAGCAGACGATGCAGGAGCCATCCTCACACACAACCTCAACAAGCATCAGGTCTGCGGCACCCTCCCACCGGGGGAAAAAGCCGCCATGGGGGACAGCACGCTCACGGTGCAGCAGGGGAACGGGTCTCACATCACACACTGGCTTTGGGCACTCATCGTTCCCATCAGGACGCACGCCTAGAAAGAAGGGTCCAAATAAAATTAATGATTTTGATGGCTTTGCATGTGACATTGTAGAAGCGGGTGTGATTTTTAGAGGACTTGATCCTCGGAGGCACCTTAAGTCAGACATGCAGTAACACTGGCACCGAAACAACAGCTCCTTTCAGAACTTTAGGGCAATGAATCTGCATCTCGAATATTTTATCATGGAAGCAGTTGCAGGGCACAGACAACGTTGTAATTCTGCAGGCAGCACACCACAGCTCGAATCCTGCCCAGCAGAGCCAAGCGGGCAGCACACACCCCAGCTAGGTCACACGGAGCCGAGATTTCTCCAGGCTTCCCCCATCACTCAGCAGAGCAAGCTTTTTCCCTTCATGTTTTTTGCATACTTCTATTTCCCCTCCTGCACTTAAGGCTGAAAGACCTCCTGGGATCTCATGTGTATCAACACAAAGAGCTGACAGGGTGCCCATCACTATTAGAACATCTTTCCCTTAAGGCGAGATCAGAGGTAGTCCAAGGCGAAGACACGCGGGTCCCATTGTTCAAACCCTGAGTGGAGCCATGTCAACCAAAATGCTGAGCAGAGGATCCTGCAGAGCAGCGACTGACCTCACAACTTGCTCCAGAAGGCTCCTGTCCAGCACAGAGGACACCTGGCTTCTCCTGGGTTTGTCCCTCCCAACTCACGGACATTTCCATCAAGTAGCAGCCACACCCCAGGGTGTGCTCAGCCCTAGCAGCCGTCACCGCATCGATACAGGGAAGGGAGATGGAAAGAGGGTCCCTGGGGAAGCGATGCTCTAGTGTCTGCTTGTGCAAACCCCACTGCTCACAGAGGCTTTCAAAAAGCACTTGGTCATGGGCTTTCTCTGATGCCCAGTAAGGAGAAGGCTCACCTTGCGCTCCTTCCTCAAGCGGAGGCATTCATCTCTTCTCCTCTGGCTGCCAATTTGCACAAAAATCGTACAAATCCAACATCTTTAAAATGTCTACTCCTGCATCAAAGAAAAGGCAGGCATTTCAAAACCGTTCAGAAGCAGCTGAGAAAAGCTGGCTGCCTGCAAACAGGAACAGCGCAGCTGGAGAAGGACGCTCAGCTTGGAAGCAAATTATGATGGGAGGATCGTATTGCAATTCTTAGGCTGCAGCTTGCTCTGGCTCCAAAGGTTTCTACCCTCCCAGTTCTCATCCTTCCTTAAAAAATAAAAACATTTAAGAAAACCAAAAAATAAATAACATCAGAGCCAGCCTTGCCCCACACAGCTGCCAGGAGGCACACGCTTTCAGGCTCACTGCTGTTCTCCTGCCCGCTCCCAGGCCACACGCCCCTGCAGCGCTGAACCATCTCCCCCCCAGTCACACCAGCATTCCCCAGCACCAGCAGCACACCCGGAGCGCTGGGCGCTGCTCCCATGGTCCCCAGGCAGGCTCCCCATGGAGACACGCTGCACCCCAAGCAGTACATGCACCAGACGACTTAGCACGTCACGTACGAGTGGACTGTAATGCTGGAAATTAACGGTCCATTTATAAACCCTTTATTAATAAATGATTAATAGATGCAGCCGTATTTTTTAATAACTTACAATAAAAAGATGCTAGGAAAAGCTTAAGCAAGACAGTCTTAACAGATGGTGCTCTAAAGTGAATTATAACATGTACAGTAGCTAGTGCAAAGTAATAGATGTCCTCATTTAATAAAAAGAACCTGATTTTATGCAGTAACTTTCACGCTTGAGGCATCTCAATACACTTTAATGAGCCCTCGTGGCCCCAGCAATGGCTTGCATGCGGCCGCAGACATCAGCTCCTGCGTTAGTAAGAGAGCGGATGTTGGTCAGGACACTGGGGTTACTCCACAGTCTTGATTTTTAACCTTTCCTTGGACAGCTACCAAAACCAGAAGGCAGGGTCAGAGAGATGCCACCTCCTAACACTGCGCTGCAGGGAACGACAAGCAAGCCTTGCTCCGGGGCTTGAAACATCATCTAACTAAGGAAAAAAAAAAGAGCATGATTACCACCACCGAAAACCAGACTGGCATCTGTATCCACGACTAAGGCATGCCGCAAATTATGTAATTTAATAAACACTGTAATAATAAAGTATTTATTTTGTATAATGAAGTGTTAGTGATTAGAAACCAAACACACATTGGGCATGCTGCTGCGGTTTCTCTTGAACCCTTGCCAGTATCACTCAAGGCTAAATATGTCTGCAGCAGGTTGAGAGTAAGTTCCTAGCCTTGTTTTGATCAGTCTGTCAAGTGTTTTAGCTGCCATTCGGGTTTCTTTATATCACACTATAACTGGCTGCTTTCTCAAGGTGCAGCGAAGGAAAAAAAAAAAAAAGCACACGGCAAAACTCACGGCACTTTTGCAAAATCCTCCACTGAAACTCCGCTGCTCTTCTGAAAGCTGATTTCAGTAGCAAAGGGCATTTTGTAAACAGCTGGTGAAAATAGAGTGGAACTGAAAGGCAGCTTGCATTAAACTCCACAAGAAAGCCTTATTTACCCTCGTGTGCTTTCTTTGTAGTGTCGATCAAACCACTTCCAGCTCCCAGGGGAGGCCTTCGGAAAAATAAAGGGAATAAAAAAAAAAACAGAAAAGCAAATGACGTCCTTCAGAGCCCGAATGTACCCAAGAGCCCTTGGAACGGCGCTGGCTGCAGCAGGCACGCTCGCCACGCCGACCTCCCTGCCCAAGTTCAACCTCCGGGGTCGCGCAGCCGCCCTCCAGCCCTGTCCCCGCTTGCCCTTGGTTGTCAGGGCTGGGGGAGAGCTTTGATCAGAGGAGGCAGGCGGGGTGTCCCGCTCCCCCTGCACCCGAACCCATCCTTCAACCTCAGCTCATTGATTTGCAGATGTCTGGAGAGAGCAGAGAAAAACACGAGGGTATGAGGGACAATCCATCACCGGTGACACAGGACGTGGAGACACGCGCCCTCCAGAGGGCTTGGCTTTGCTTCCAGGCTGCCAGCATGCTCCTCTGCCTCCTCACCAGCATCACCGGGGCTGGGCATGATCCGAGCCCCAGCTTTGGTGGTGGACATGTCCCTGCTGCACCCTGAACTTCTGGGGTGACACCCTAAACACGGGGAAAGACAGTTTGGCTGTGAGCACTGAGGGGACAGCACTGGCTACAGCTGCCAGGGGACCTTCCTTGCCTTTATTCTACCCCAGCATCCTACCTGTTTACCCTAGAAATGCAATGCAGAGCTGCCCCTCTGGGATTCCGGGGCTGTTCCCCCTGCCAAGGAGCAGTACTCAGGCAGCAACTGGGCGTTCATGTGTCAGGGCCATCTCGAAACAAGAAAGGAAGCGTGCATTTTCTGTGATTGCTTCTCCGCAGAGCAGAAATAAGCAACAATGAAATCACACAGTCCTGCAGCGGCTCGGAGCAGAGCCAGGGCTCACCCTAATCTGACAGCAGCACAGCAGAATGCTTCTGGGTGGATCCCACACCTTTGCACTTTGTCCCTTCAGTGTGGCGAGGCACCCAGCGTATGACTAAATGCAAACAGGTAAAGCAGCCGGCTCAGGTACAGAGCAGAGCCTTGACGGGCTCTTTTTACCTTCCCAGGGAGTTCTGTACCAACACCACCCGCTGCCTTTCCGCTACGAGGTGGCACCAGCATCTGCAAACCCAACTGCTCCCTGAACAGTGACACGGCAGACTCCAATGCCTCTCAGACCACCCACGACACCGGGAGACGTAGCTGAACGGTGCTGGATCCCAGGGGCCGGTAACTGTACAAACTGTCCCACCTTACTGCTGGTTGCCCTGTCTCTGGTCCCTTTTCCTCCTCTCTTTAGGTCGGCTGCCTGCCACCGTGGCAAGGAACAAAAGAGAAGCAGTGCTCCGGGACTGGTGTTTCCTGTCTCAGCTAGAAAACAACATTATAAGCGTGAATCTACTGCATTCAAGTAAGGCTTCCCTCCTGCCACCTTTCCCGCAAGGCTGCAAGAAGCTCTCGATTTGCAAACTCTCTCATATCGCCGAGTCTAAACCAACAGATCTGTTAACACTTGTTTCTCTGCAGAGGAAGAGCAGCGTTTCCATGCAAGCAATGAGCACCAATATTTCTCTTACCTGGGCTGCAAGAAACTCTAAAGTCTGTGTTCTGTCATGTAATGTAACACAAAACACCAAGGATGTAGGGGAAATTGGAGGGGAAAACACAAGCTACTAAAAATGAAATATCTGACAAGCAGCATAGCTTCCAGCAGCACACTGCTGACATGCAAGAGAAAATTCCAGGATTTCCACCTTTCCTGGTACTGGAAAATTAACAGCCCTTTTTTTCAGAGACCCTCAACAGCACGAGGAGGTGCAGTGTAGCGTTACAATTATGTACGTCACGCTTAAACAAGTTGTAGCCTCCAGAAGAGCACGTTCACCCCAGACCGAGTGTCCAACCGAAAGCGTTTTTTGACAGTTTGTGAACCACATGGAGCCAGTGGCTAAAGAGGTTGGAATTCTTTAAGAACTTATTTCCGAAGTTGTTCTAATTACAATGCATGGGGTCTCGCTGCTGAATTTCAAAGACAACACGCAATCCCTCCAGGCTTACCATCTGTGCGTTGAATTCGGGGAACATGATGCATGTCGCTCCCACCCAGAGAGGACAGAGGAGCTTATTGATCACCCCGTGGACATGATGTAAAGGCAGCACGTGCAGAATCACATCCTCCTTCTTCCACTCCCATTTTTCAACCAGCCCTGTAGTCTGCAGAAGAAAACAAACACCCCAGCATCAGGGCAGGAGGAAAGCTCCTCGCTGCTTGCAAAGCCCGAGGTGCCCAGGCCCCAGACCCCCGGGCACAGCTGGCAGCAGAAATCCCAGAGCTCCTGGAATGATGCCTGGGCACAAGCAGCATTCCTTTAGGGTCAGCACGAGGAAAATTCCCACCACAACAGTAGAATACAAGACGGAACACCTTTGGCATCTTGTCACTACATGTCTTCATGTGTATCAGCAAAGTCCTTCCTCATTACTGAGAAATAGTCAACAATTATTTTAAGCAGGGGCTATAAAATTATTAGCCTGCTGCCACACATGCAGAGTTGGCAGAAATAGGAATCAAAAAACTAATTTTCCCAGAAAAATGTTGACATGGTTTGGACAGTGATGACATCAGGCTTTTAACACCTGTAAGGGACAGTCAGTAGAAGCAGAAAAATCACTGATACGTAGAAAATAGGCTTCATGTTAGCAAAAAAAAAATATATCAAGCTTCTAAACTACTCTGCTATGAAGAGATAATTATCTAAAGCATTAGACCCCAGGTTTCTGGGTGAAGAAAGCTCTTCAGAGCCCAGCGTTAGCAACTGGAAAGCTTATTTCCAGCCATCTAAAAATAAGAAAGCATTTGAACTGTGGAATTTAGCCGTGTCATTCACAACCCTCTTCCACAGGGCAGGGAGCAGGTTTTAGGCTTTCTGCAAGCCAGCACAAAAGATGGTGACTGCTCAGGCCACCTCCCGGATGATCGGCATATTTGTAAGGGAGCAGATTCTTTGCTCAATATAGCCAAGCCCTGGCTCGATCCATCAAGGCTTTCACATCCTCCCATCACGGCGGTACCCGAGCACCCAGCACAACGTCAGCTCCCAGAGGCGTCCGTGAGGCACGCTGTATTCCCTGCCCTCTTCCCTAATGGCATGAGGGAATGCTAGAGTTGCAGGCAGCGATCACCCACTGGTGAGGCAGTCAGCAGGCTTGTTCAAACTTTTAATTCCTTTTGGCTCAGAGAGCTAATGGATTTTTTTGCCTTGGGGATATACAGCTGAATAATGCACAGACTTCACACACTCCAGCACTGGGCTGGGCTCAGTTATATTCCAATTAGGGGCAAAGATTCTTTCCCAGTCACAGGGAAGAAAAGCAAACTGAAAAGAAAGCAGTCTTTTTACAACAGGTCTCAGCCCTTGTGCTTTCCAGGAAAGCAGGGAGAAGGGTCCATCTGCCGCTGGCTGCACCTGCAGCACAGCAACACCACAAGGACAAGGTTTAGAGCCTCAAACACTCCTCTGTGCATTCACTTTAAAAGCGCTGAGGACTTCTGAGACACAGCCCCAGAGCTCTGTGCAGGAATTCGGCTGGGGTAAGGTGTGTTGTGCTTTGGGGCTGCAACCCCAAATCACCTCTGAAGGGCAGGATCTGTAACCCGGCACAAGTGTTGCAGGGGGAAAGCAGCACTCACCACGGCTTGGACATTCTCATGGGTGCTGAGGACACCTTTTGGTCTTCCTGTTGTGCCGCTAGTGTAGATTATCATGGCTCCTCTGTCCTTCCACGAGGAGCAGGTTGTCAAGGGACCCTCTTCCCCTGCTGCATGACTTGCAGATCCATCGCTGTGAGACCTGAGCAGTGGCAGAAGCGGGACTCCCAGCTTCTCAGCACTAGGGGTTATTTTCCCCACATACTCCTCTGCTGCGATGACTAGAGCGCTCTGCGAATCCTGAATCACGTACTCCAGTTCCTGCACAGGGTGTTTCTTGTACAGGGGCACTGCTATGCCCCCGCTCATCCAGGAAGCCCACTGGGCCACTACATATGAGGCATCATTAGGACACAAAAACGAGATCCTCTCTTCCTTCAAGTCCCTGCTGGAGCACTCCAGAGCTCTGCAGATCTCCTGGGACAAGCGCAGACTCTGGCTGAGAAGGTCCCTGTAAGTGTGCTCACCATTTTGGTCAATGATGGCAATTTTATCACCGAAAGCCACAGCCCGAGTGAAAACAGGGGTAATGTCACTGCTGTAGGCTGCCTGGGCGGTCTGCAGACTCCTGTGGGGACAGCCACCCCTCTTCTGCCCAAGCAACCCCCACCTGCAACGGTGCAAGTCCCGGGCGAGGCGTCGAAGGGGCCAGCTCGCTTGGGGGAAGAGCAGGGAGATCAGCATCCTGCCAGCACCGCTTGTTTTGGAGTGATTCTGCAGAAAGCAATTATAGGAACAGATAAGTACGTGCAGCGATTACCCAGGGGTTTATTCCCACAAAGGAAAAGTGGCAGCCTTCATTTGAATAATACCCACTCTATTATTAATGGTTATGCTTCAGACTGCCGCATCCCCAGTGCGCTGGGCCCTGCCCGGATGGAACAGGAGAGAGAGACCCTTCCCCATGCAGCTTTCACGTCCCTGAAAAACACTCTAACTTAGATTATGAAATAGTTTTCATTGATCGATAACATTAGGACGCCAAGTAGTGGCTACTTGAGGTGCCATTCTAACTCAGTGGGACCAATATTTAAAGGAATTAAATCATTACAACAGTACCTAGCTTCCGTCGCTTTGCTAAACCATCACTTTGCTAAACCATCGCCTTGCTCTGCGCCTCCAGTTAGGCAGCATGGAGCTAGACATGAAATCCTAAGGTTTAGCCCAGCAGAGGATTGTTTCCCACATGAGTTTTCCTTTGAACAACAGCACATCCAAACACAGGAAAGTGCCCGAACCCTCCACCTGACAGGTCATCCATCACAACCACGGCTCCAGCTCAGAAGCTTTCTTACGTGACAGACCGAGTGGTTAACAGCTCCCGAACAGCCGCAGGAGCCCTCCCCACGCCCAGCAGCTGGCTTTCCCAGCAAACAGCAGCAGGGAGGTGCAACCCCACACACATGGACCTGTGGGTTTGTTATTTCTGAAAGTATCGACCTGGCAGCACCCGGAGCTGGGCAGAGCATCGGGACATGCTCAGCTGTGGCACCGGGCTCCACCTGAGCAGCTGGAGCTTGATCTGAGCACAGCTCAACCATCACCCCAGCCTGGTGACACAATGCATGGGGGTGTTTCAACAGAGAAAATCTCCAAAAAGGACCAGGGAAATGTCCCAGCACCATTAAAGGCTTCACAGGTAGATCACGGGCTGGCAGAAATGTTGCGCATTCTGCTGTTGTGCTTACATAGCACAATGACATCAACCTATGTGCTCACGGGAGAAGGGAGCAAAAAAGCCCTTGTGGTAACTGGTGAAAGGTACCTGAAGTTGGCCCTTCGCCCCTCTTTTCATCTTTCAAAGGGAAAGGTCTGTGTCATAGTGTTTGACACTGCCTGGATCATCCCACAGAAGCACCAGGGAAAAAGTTAACACACGCACGGTGCAGAACATGTAAGAATATAATGGAGTGACGCGAGTGCTGGGGACTCCGGGAACACTTTGCCGGGGAGACCACTGGTGCACTCAAAACAAGACAAAGCAGCAATGAACTGAGAGGAGTGAGGAGATGCCTCAGAAGAATCCTGACCCCCCCGCCTCTGCACAGAGCCTGGAGCTCTGGCTGGAAGCTCGGCAAGAAGCAGCACCCTCTCCATACAGAGACCAGCAGATACAGACACCAGCAGGGGAGCGGAGAGGAAAGAACGGGGCCGCGGCAGCAGAAAAAAGGTTTTACTGCACAGCCTAATGGCTGCTATTAAACACCAGCGCTGAAGCATCCCCAGAGAGACACTAGGACAAGAGGAGATAGCCAAAGGATGACAGCTTCTCACTCTGTAAGAGTGCACGTGACACCTCCTCGATGCCGGCAATAATGGCTCTTTTTTTTTTTCCACTATATTTTTGATAAATACCTATTAGTGGAGCAGCTCAACTCAAATAGCCTCCCTGCTCAGCTTCCCACCATGGGGAGGAGCTGAAACAAAAAGGATCCAGAGAACTAGCAGCTCCTCAGGGATGAGCTGAGCACAGCTTAAACCAGCTGGGACTGCTCAGACATGGCCACGGGCAGCACCCGCTGACAGCAGCAAGTGTTTATTTTTGCCTAGATGTAGCTGAGAGCGCTGCAGCCTCTCCCATCCACCTTCGGAGCATTTCTCAAGCCGGACATAGGCTTTATACGTATTTTCTTTTGCATATCGACCTCAATTTCTGCTTCTGCAAAAGAAACTTGTGATTTTGTGCGGAAACATCTGGGAGGGGGAGAGGCTTTAAACCCAGAGCGTGGTAACCTTGTGCACTTGTGACATCAGGATGGAAATAAACAAAACAGGTCATGACAAAGCTCGCATGACATCTTTCCATTTCTCTGTGGAGACTAAAATATAAAATAGAGAACATCATCCGTAACCTAAATCAAATCACCTCCTCCCAGCCCGTGCCTGAGGCCAGCGCACTGGCGAGATGTTAATACCCCAGGCGTTAAGAGGGGCACTAATCACAAGCAACCATTTGCCAGGATCATGCCGTGCTCCAGCTCAGTGCGGCTAAGTGCACTTGGCGTACTGGCCGCTCCTCGTACGGCTCCGGAGCAGGTGTTTGTTAGCTGCTATTTCAGAACAGCGCCTTCCAAAAATGACATTATCCCCTTTTCACCACAGTGCCAGTCCAGATTTAATGGAACAATAAACAGCAGCACCTCTAGCCAGGCCTGGGCGTTTACTGACTTCAGAGAACTGGTGTTGACTGGGTGTGTGCAGCCCTGCAGCCACTCGGGTCCGGGTGACCAACACCGGGGCTGTTTCCTCTACCCTGCCCCTTGCTCAGGGATAACCGGTAACACCAGCTCTGCCAGGATGTACCTGAACACGACGTTTGTTGCTGGGGGCCAGGAGATCGTGGCAGCGCAGCAGATGAGCTTTTGCTGCCTTGAAAGGGAAGGCTCAAACCACACCCTCCTAAAGGAAGAGACGAAACCCTCTGGGGAGCTCACACCAGCTCTGGGCACTACAAAACCACCACAAAGCCCGGCGGAGCTGGGAGCTGCGAG